TCAAGGGGAACCTTTACCTTTACCACATTTGACGGGACCACAGACTGGAAACCATTCTTCACACACCAATTTGCAAGGTTCGTTATGTGACTTACACAATTCTGATTTGGCCTATAATTCTTTCATACTATATTTGTGGCTGTGGCCAAAAATAAAAAAATTGAAAAGACTGAGAATGGCTACCCTAGACCAAACTGGCAAGGGCCTTAGCAGTCTTAAGTGGCAATAGCGGCTCCAGACTCTTCAGCTCTCCCGCTCTTTCTGATTCAGTTCTCTTACTCACAGCCTTCTTCTTTCTTAGTCTCACGCCTTTGGGCTGAACCAATGTTTTGTAGGGTTACACAAGCCAAGGCAATTTTTCCAAGTTTTGCTCTTTTCTCCCTGTCTTTCCCTTTTTACCTCTTCCCTTGTCAAACAGACCAAGGATTCAGAAGTGAGATGGATTGACTCCACAAAGGAAGTTACAGTTTTGAGTTTGCAAGACCTGGACAGGGTTGTTCAGGACAGGCCATTCTGAAGATCACAAATTCACGAGGCCACGATGAGTCAGAAGCAGCCTGATGGCACCGAACAGCAACAGAATCTAGAAGGATCGTTCTTTTCTTCCTCTTCCCCTCCTCACAGCTCCTGTGCTACAAAAACACAGCTGGGGATTCTGTGTGAGCCTGATTTGGGTGTGTTCAAAACAAAGGGACTCAAGCCTCTAGCAGGTCATCTTTTGGACCAAAGGCAGACAGCCTCACAGGACAGGAGCATCTATTGTTCTCAAGGTAAAGGTAAAGGCTCCCCTTGACAATTTTTGTCCAGTCGTGTTCGACTCTAGGGGGCGGTGCTCATCCCCATTTCCAAGCCATAGAGCCAGCGTTTTTGTCCGAAGACAATCTTCCATGGACACATGGCCAGTGTGACTTAGACACGAAACACTGTTACCTTCCCACCGAGGTGGTCCCTATTAATCTACTCGCATTTACATGCTTTCGAACCGCTAGGTTGGCGGGAGCTGGGGCAAGTGACGGGTGCTCACTCCATCACGTGGATTCGATCTTACGACTGCTGGTCTTCTGACCCTGCAGCACAGGCTTCTGCGGTTTAGCCCACAGCGCCACGACGTCCCTCAAACAACACCCTATATGGGACTGGGGGTGGCAGCCTAAGACAATCATAGTTCATTTATCAGAATGGGAATCAGCAAACTTGTGACAAACCATTTCATTTTTCTGGTCCTTTTTTTATTCTCTGGCATTCATTCACTTACAACACAAAAGCTTGTTTTTAGTACCGAGCTCGCAGAACCTTTCTTCTTTCATTTTGTCTCTGATCTTTTTTAAAAAGATCTCTAACACTTTTTCTACCCTTTTGAAGAAATAATTATTATGAATATATATATTCATAATTAACGGAGCTTGCTCCTTGAAGCATCTTGTCAAGAGCTGGGCCACACTGATTTCCTTGATAAGTTCATGCCCTGAAAAGCAGAAGGTATGCAGTACCCACCCCAACACGCACAACCCTGTGAACATAGAAATGTTCTCCAGGAGGAAGCTTAAGAGTCTGGGCTCTGTTCCCAGGGACTGAAACAGTTCAAAGAGCACTCATTCTTATAGCCTAATCTATGTGTGTTTACTCAGAATCAAGCCCCACAAAGTCCAAAAGGACTTAATGGCAGATAAATGTGCAGAGGATTTGAAAGAGGGCAGTGCAACATCATTCAGAGGCTGGTTCATTGGGACCTTTAAGTCTGCTTAGCTGGGATGAGGTGATGATATTTTGCAGCAACAATGCATCATTATGAGCTATTTCTGATCAAATATAAAGGACGGCCCATTAAGATCCATTGGTTATAAAAAAGATCTGCTGTTACTGGAAATTAAAATTGCCTGAACTGCTTTATTGATATGGATCAATACAGTTGCCTGCACTTTGGGGATGGTCGTGACAAGCATCTCAGAAGTAACCACTATAATGCTGAATATCAGATTTTGGTCTGAAAAGGAAGGAGTCAGCTGTAAATCCTATCTGTGCCACAAACAGATATAAGTCTCAGTTTTTCAGCTGGAAAATAGGACTGATAGCACAGCCTTTCTGA